ACCCTAAGCTGATAAATCATAGTATCTGCCCATTGCCCTGGCCAGCAAGACTGATCCAGGGATGGGCGTATGAACCTCATGAAGCCAATCAGAATCTTTCCCCAAGATTTTTCTAAGTGGTTTTGGCAGGAAAAACACTTTTCCCTCATATTGCTAGGCTATAAAGATGCATGCCTGAAGCTGCTAGGGCTATGTCCCTGCTCTCCATGGAGAAAGTCCATCTGATCTTGACTAATACCATGAGGATGTTATTCTATCAAAATACACATTTTTCTGTAGCCTATGAAATATTCTACTCATTATTTTCCACAAAAAATAGGATTTCAAAAATGTTTTCAAATTCAAGAAACACTGGGAGTACTCACAGAACTCCGAATATTATCACAGCTATGATTTATTACAACAAAGGGATACAAAATAAAACCAGCAAAGGGAAAAGGCACATTGGGTAATGCCCAGAGGAAATCAGGCACAAACTTCTGAGTCCTCTCCCAGTGGGAGTCACATGGAACATGCTTAATTCCTCCGACAATGAATTGTGACAACGCATGTGAAATGTCTATCAGGGAAGTTCATTAGAACCTCAATACCAAGGTTTTTACTGGGGGCTGGTCACATATGCATTCTCTGCCTATAGCACATACCAAAATTCGACTCCCAGAAGGAAAGGAGGTGTTCACTTTAAACCATATTGTTTGTACAAACAGTTTAGGCATAGGGAACCACTATTATCATTTCGGGAAAGTTTTATGTAAGTGTAGGGAATGATTTGCCATTCAAGTTCCTAGACTCCGGTCAAGGGCCAACCTATAATTAGGCCTTTCTAAAGATAGCAGTCTTGGGCCAAGAATATCAATGGGCCTTTTCTGTGCAATTTCCCAGGATTTAAGATATCCTTTTAGTTAAAATACAGTATAAGCAAATAAGGTAGATATTTTATATATATATATCTTCTCATTATATTCATTTTCTCTCCTTGCATTCACCTGCTTTTCCCTTCTTTGAGTTATAAAAACATAAAAGTTACTTTGTGGGGGAAAGAGTCATGGGGTAGAGGGCCCCCTGCTTGAGTCTGAATTGTGTGTTACAGAGGAGATACTGAAGGGTACGTTGGGAGCTGAGAGGCAATAAATTGATGACTGATACACTATGTACTGGGACAACTGTGTACCTTTTCTTTTATATGTTAATCTGGTGAATTATACAAATAAATTTCCTGATGTTGAATCATCTTTGCACTCGAGTTAAAACCAATTAGATCATGAAGAGGTAAATACTGCTAAACTCTATTTTCTAATCTTTTATTTGAATTTTAAATTCATGTTTATAATGAGATTGGTCTCTAACTTTCTTGCGCTGTTTTTGTCTGGTCTTGATGTCACAAAGTATGTTAGGTAGCTCTTTCTCCTTTTCTATTTTCTGAAATATGTTGATTGAGAAAGGGATTATTGTTCCTTGAGGGTCTGATAAAATTTGCCTACAAATCAATCTAGACCTTGTGTCTTTTGGAAAGGAAGACTATGTTTGTTCTCAATAGTTTTATTATAAAAAATTTCAAAGATACACAAAAGTAGAGAACATAGTTCAATAAATCCCCATATACCTATCACCTAGAAGCAACAATTAACAAGTTTTGCTATTTATTTCATTCAATAGTCATTTTAAAATTTATTTTTCTTTTATGAAGTATTTTAAAGAAAATCCAAGATATTATGTGTTTTCATATTTCAGTATGCATCTCTAAAAAATCAAGGACATTTTCTTACATAACCAAATTTTATTATCACAGCTAAGAAAATTAAATATATTTTCTTGGTCTCGTCTAATATGTAGGCTATAATCAAATTTCCCATTTGGTTATCTGAAAATGTCTTCCACAGTTGTTTGGAGGGAGATTCGGGATTACTAATTCCCTTTCTTCAGTGGTTACTGGTTTATTCAGGCCTTCTATTTCTTTCAAGTCAATTTTGGTCATTTCTATTTTCTAAAAATTATCTATTTCATCTGTTTCCCCACTAGCATTCCTGATTATTAAATAGTTTGTCAGCGTCCTATCCCCTGAAATTCCAACTGCTGGTGTGATCCCACTCTAAAAGACTAAAAACCCAGAATAATTTCCTGAAAATTCCTACTACCAAGGGTTCTCCTTCATGGTAATCATGGCCATTAAGTATGAGTTTGTAAACTCTTTGGATACCAATATTCTACCACTCTTGAGGATAAGGGACATGTCAGTCCTTTTGGTGGATAATAGTCCTAGGCTTGCCTTGTCCTAGCAGTTTCTTCACCTTACTCACAGACCAAATTAAATACTTAATCTTAAAATCATCTAAAATATAATTTCAACTCACAGGACACAATAAAGAATCCTTGAGCAAGGCAAGACCTCAGACAGAAGTTATTTCATCCTATTTATTTTATAGGTGAAGAAACTGAACTTCAAAGTGATTTGTCCTAGGTCACATAATCAGTGGCAGGAAGGAGACAACATTGGAGTGTCAAAATAAGAATGAATTCCAGGAGATTTACAGTACTTAAGTATACCCCAAATTAAGCAGTTCATTCCTGAATTCTCTTGGCAACACTCCCCATCCTTTCCTTTCACCACTCTATGTATGAAAGTTAGCTTTACCAATTCATCTCCAGAAAGGTATGTACATTTCATATTTTGCAAACTGGTATCTGTCAGCAAAATCAGACCCAGGACTACTAGCGTCTCAATTCAGCCTAGGTTACAAATGTTAAATCCCAAGACTGTTCCTCTGAAAGAGACACCGGACTCTCAGGGATGAAGAAGCTCTGACAGGGATGGCAATAATGTGATGATATGGAAAGGTTTGATGGCACTTTATACAGGTGGCACAGATGCAGAAACAAGTGAGAAATTATCTAAGTGAACTTGATTTTTAAATTTACTATAATATAAAGCTACTGTAATCAAAATAGTGTGCCACTTCACATGCATTAGCATGGTAATTATTAAAAAAAAAACAGAAAATAACAAGTGTTGGTGAAGATGTGGAGAAATTAGAACCTTTGTGCGCTGCTGATGGAAATGTAAAGTAGTGCAGCTGCTATGGAAAACAGTATGGCAGTTCCTGAAAAAATTAAAAATGTAATTAGCTTATGATCCAGTGATTCCACTTCTGAGTATATATCCAAAAGAATTAGAAGTGGGGTCTCAGAGATATTGTACACCCATGTTCCTAACAGTACTATTCACAATAGCTAAAAGGTAAAAGGAATCCAAGTGTCTATTGACAGATTAATGGAATATTATACAGCCTCAAAAAGGGACTAAAGTCTGACATGCTACAACATGCATGAAATTTGAAGACATTATGCTACGTGAAATCAGCCAGTCACAAAAGACAAATACCGTATGATTCTAGTTATATGAGGTAGTTAGAGTAGTCAAATTAATAGAGAAAGACAGTAGAAGCGTGGTTGCCAATAACTGGGGATAGAGAGGTACTGGGAGTTACTATTTAATGAGTGCAGAGTTTCAATTTTGCAAGATGAAAAATGTTCTGTAGATAGATGGTAGGGATGGTTGCACAATAATGTGAATGTACTTAATGCCACTAAAGTGTACACTTAAAAATGATTAAAATGGTAAATTCCATGTAATTTGTATATTTACCACAATTAAAAAAAATTTTAAAAAGCATGGCATTGACACAAAGATACACAGATCAATGGAACAGGATTCCAGAAATAGACCCACACATTAATGGTCACAAAGTCAAAGAAAAGCAATGGATAGAAGAGTTTTTTACAACACACAGTGATGGAACTACTGTAAATCCCTATGGAAAAATGTGAACTTCAACCCTTACCTGACACCATAAGCAAAAATCAATTCTAATAGACCACAGACTTACATGTCAAAGGTAAAACTTTATGGCTTTATAACTTATATATGAGAACAAAGGAGAAAATCTCCACGAACTTGAGGTAGGCAGACTTCTTAGCACAGAAAAACCACAAACGATAAAACAAAAAAACCGATCGACTCCACCAAAATCAAAAACTGCTTTGCAGAAAACACGTCAAAACAATGAAAAGAGAAGGCCCAGATTAAAACATTCGTTATCCTATATTTAACAAAACATTTGTCTTCAGAACTCTTACACATGAAGAATCATTTTTAAAAGTGGACCAAAGACTTGAACTAAAACTTCACAAAAGACGTAGCATGGCCAGTAAGAACATGAGCAGAAACGGTCCCAATGACGCCGCACCAAAGCGGGAACGAACGCACTCCTCAGCCTGAAAGGCCTTTAAAGTGATGCAAACTGTCTCATAGTAGGATAGTGTCATAACTACCTTCGCGAAAAAGAAGATAAGCGAAATGGCCACCGCAGCTTACTAAAACCTCTGATACTCAAGCCATGGAATTCTTCCACAGTGCTAGAAAACAAGGAAGTCTCGCGATGTCGGGAAAAGCACGTTCGCTCACAGGTCTGCAGGATGAGATGGAGTAGAGAGCGCAGGCGCATTTAGGGTTCCCACATTGGGCGATTGACTCCGAAGGGCAGGGCAAAAAGGACCCGCGCTGGAACTGAAGTGCTGGCTGGAGGCTTGTCGAGAGCTCCCGGACACGCCCACGTGCGCGCGCCTCCGCCGCCGCCGCCGCCGCCGCCGGCGCCTTCGGTTAACCACCCTTCTAGACTGTGCTCTCGCGGTATTTGTCCCAACTCTCGCGGGGTTTAGCGTGGCACTGGGAGGCCGTGCCCAGGGAAGGAGGTGGTTTTCAGTTAGTGGCGTTGGGCTCTGGCTGCGGTGGCAGTGCTTTCTCTTTTGCTGACGGGCAGCCGTTCAGGCTGGAGGCCAGCCAGGTGAAGAGCTCGCCCGCATATGTGCGGGCTGCATGGGAACCTGGAGGCCCTGGGAGGGAGGGGGCTCCTGTCTTGGCCTCCTGCGCTGTCGCGACAGGCCAGCACCGGGCGACGGTGGCGCGGACTTCGCCCCAGCCCTGCCTTGGCCCCCGCCTTGACTGCTTTCCTCCCCCTCTCTCCCAGCTCTTGCCGCCACCTCTGTCGCGATGGGGGCGCAGGACCGGCCGCAGTGCCACTTCGACATCGAGATCAACCGAGAGCCGGGTGAGCTGGAGACTGGGGCCTGGGCTTGCCTTGGCGAAGTGGAGGGGTCTGCTCTCGTCAGCCCTCCCCCAAGTCTTTTTGGGAGCGGGCGGGCACAGTCAACTTTCCCTTTCCTGCTGGGAGAAAATCAGCGTAGAGGAGGGTAACCCCTCACTTTATCGGAGTCCGGGCCTCTTCCTCCCAAACCCCACACGCCCCCGTGCGCTTCCAGACTAAGCCCTCATACCCAGACTGGCGCCAAGAAAAGGGGCGCAATTATTTTAGGAGTTTTTTTTTTCTCCCAGTGTCTCTAGGGTGCAGACATTCCCGTTTCCTATTTCTGGTATCTTGCTCTGTACTATGAAGTTTAGACTCATCTATTGTGTATTTCCTAATAATTATATATCACTAACAGTTAATTACGCCTCTGTTTTCCCTTAAGAATCTTTAGCCAGAATTTCTAGGTTCCTGGGAAAATGGCTTAGCCTTGTGTGATAAACCAGAAGGCATCCTGTACCAGCAGAATTGCAGCATGCATGCACTTAGCATTAATATTTTGTCCTTAGGATATCCAACCATTCATTAGTGTGTTTTTTTGAAAATAAAATATTTTACTCTAAAGGGTAGTTGTTTCATTCTAAGTAGCAGAACGTGCAGGGTTCCAAATTGTTTTATTAGCTCTTTTGGTATCTGTGACAGAAGTTTTAATTGAAGGCATGTACACTGTCTTTGTGCAACATCTTATTCTGCAGATTCTTAATGAGAGCCTGCTACTGTTCTAGGCTCTGGAGATAACAGCAGTGAATACAGCAAAACCCTTTCTTCGTTTTATAGTTTATATTCTATTGGGAGAAGACAGACAATAAAGTAGGGAAAAAAAGACAGTGGCTTGTAGGGGCCTACTATTTTAATAAGCTGGTCAGACAAGGCCATTTTGAGAAAATGACATTTAAACAGAAATCTCAAGGAGATGTTGAGGTGAACCTTACTTGAGAAGAGCATTCTTTATAGAAGGAAATAGTTAACACAGGCCTTGAGGAGTAGTGTACAGTCATGCACTGCATAATGATGTCTGGGTCTAGTACTTGGTCTCGTAAGATTATAATACCATATTTTTTTGTGTACCTTTTTTATATTTAGATACACAGATACTTATCATTGTGTTACAGTTGCCTACAGTATTCAGTCACGTTCTGTACAGGTTTGTAGCCTAGGAGCAATAGGCTACACCATATAGCCTAGATGTGTAGTAGGCTATAATGCATTTCTCAGAACATATTTCCATTGTTAAGTGATAGAGGACTGTTCTTGCATGTTTGGGGAATAGCAAGGAGCCGGGTGTGGCTGGAGTAGAGGAGAGAAGAGAGTGGTAGGGAATAACCAGTAGGACTTTGACTCAGTGAAATAGGAAGATATTAAGGAGTTTTGAGTGAAGGAATGAGATGAACTCAGAAATTTTCTTTCCTTCTCTTTCTTTAATGTTTTGAAACTTGATGGATCTTAATCCTTATCTATAGTGAATCCATGTTTTGGATAACAGGGTTTATTTTTTTTTATTAAGAATTAAAAATAGGAAACTCGTGAAAAGTAGAAATAAAACAGGTTCTGTAGTCATGTTTAGTATTCCTTTCCTAGTACTAGTTGACATCCTAGATTTGCAAGTAACCTGTGTTGTGAAAAATCTCCAAAATGTTTGGTATCATGTTGAGTGAACTTCACGCCTCAACATCCAGTATAATTCATTCTGGTAGAAGTGACTAGTGCTCTTGAGAATGCTGAATCTTGATATAAAACAAGGAATGCAGTGTTTATTGTTATATGTTGAACCAGTTGATAATTGGCAATTTCATATGGTTTAATCTTATATATAATACTTCCCTAGCACTTTTTAGTATATTAACTAAGTAGTAGATGGTGGGAAATTTTACACAACCTTTTTTTTTTTTTGAGACAGAGTCTCACTCTTTTTGCCCGGGCTAGAGTGAGTGCCGTGGCGTCAGCCTAGTTCACAGCAACCTCACACTCCTGGGCTCAAGCGATCCTACTGCCTCAGCCTCCCGAGTAGCTGGGACTACAGGCATGTGCCACCATGCCCGGCTAATTTTTTCTATATATTTTTAGTTGTCCGATTAATTTCTTTCTATTTTTAGTAGAGACGGGGTCGAACTCCTGAGCTCAAACAATCCGCCCGCCTCATCCTCCCAGAGTGCTAGGATTACAGGCGTGAGCCACCGCGCCCGGCCTACACAACCTTTTTTTTAATTTAATTTTTTTTTTTTAAAAGACAAGGTCTTTTTTTTTTTTTTTTTGAGACAGTGCTCCAGACAGAGTGCAGTGACGTCATCGTAGCTCACTGCAACCTCAAATTCCTGGGCTCGAGTGATCTTCCTGCCCCAACCTCCTGAGTAGCTGGGGCTATAGGGGTGCACCACCACACCTGGCTCATTTTTCTATTTTTTGTAGAAATGGTGTCTCCTTTTGTTCCCCATAGGAGATTTCGAACTCCTGGCCTCAAGTAATCCTCCTGCCTTGGCCTCGCAAAGTGCCAGGATGAGCCACCGTGCCTGGCCACAATTATTTCATTTCTAATGATTGCTTTGGTTTTGATTTTGCTCTTTTTCTAGTTTTCTTAGAGTGGAAGCACAGATTGTTAACTTGTTACCTTTCTTTTAAGCATGTAATTCTATAAATATAGAGTGAAATTAAGATATATCTCACATATTTTGATATGTTGCTCAATTTCTTTCGTTTTAAAATATCTTCTAATTTCCCTTGAGACTTAGTCTTTGACTCTTGAATTATTTAGAAGTGTTTTAATTCCTAAGTACTTGGATATTTTCCAGTTATTTTTCTGTTAATAAGTTCTAATTTAATTCCATATGGTCAGAGAACATACTTAGTATGATTTCAGGTCTTTTAAATTTGTTAAGATGATATGGTCTGTTTTGGTGTATTTCCCATGTGTACTTGAAAACAATATATATTCTGTTTTTTTTTTTTTTGTAGAGTGTTCTGTAAATATCAGTTAAATCCACTTGGCTATTGGTGTTGTCCAGTTCCTCTGTATCCTTGCTGATTGTATACTTGTTTTATTGATTATCAAGAGAGGAGTATTGAAGTCTCCAACTATAACGTGGATTTGTCTATTTCTCCTTTAAGTTCTACGAGTTTTTGCTTTATTTATTTTGAAGCTCTTTTGTTAGATGGGTGCATACACATTTAGCATTGTTGTCTTTGTAGTGAATTGACCCCTTTATCATTATGTAATGACCATTTATATTCCTAGTAATTTTCTGTGCTCTGAAGTTTACTTTCATATCAATATAGCTATTCCAGCTTAGTGTTTAAATGGTATATCATTTTCAATCCTTTTACTTTTAACCCTATCTATATTACATTTAAAGTAGGTTTATTATAGATAGCAACTAGATGGGTCTTTTTTTAACCCACCTAACAATCTATCTTTTAGTCAGTATATTTATTTACATTTAATATAATTATCGTTATGTTTGAATTTGTCTACTGGTTTTGTTTGCTCTGTTTTTTATTGTTTCCCTTTCCTGCCCTCTTTGAGATTATTTGAATATGTTTTAATATTCTTTAAAATTTTTCTATTATGTTTTTGATGATGTCTGTAAAGGTTTAGTGGTTACCGTAGAGATTATAATATATATACTTCACAGTGTATTTAGAATTATTATTTTGCCACTTCAGGTGAAATGTAGAAACCATCCCACCATCCTTTACCCCCTAGCTTATATTGTATTTGTCATATTTATTACATCTATAAACACCGAAAACTCGCTTTCAAACGTCATGCATACTTTAAAGAATTTAAGAGGAGAAAAATATTCTATTATATTTACCCACATATTTACCATTTCTGTTGCTATTTGTTCATTCATGAAGTTCCACATTCCCCTGTTATCATCTCCCTTCCATCTGGAGAATTTGCTTTAGCATTTCTTTTAGGAAAGATCTTCTGGTCACAAATTCTCTTAGTTTTTCTTCAACTGAGAATTTTATTTTGCCTTCATTCTTGAAGGATATTTTCACTAGATACAGAATTCTAGGTTCACAGTTATTTTCTTTTAGCACTTGAAAAATGTTCCACTGCCTTCTGGTCTATATGGTTTCTGATAAGAAATCCATAGTCATTTGAATTGTTATCCCCCATGTGTAATATGTTGTATTGTCTGTCTGCTTTCAAGACTTTTGCTTTGTCTTGAGTTTTCAGAAGTTTGATTGTGATGTGTCTGGGTTTAAATTTCTTTGTGTTTCTTCTCTGTGAGGTTTGTTGACTTCCTTGAATCTGTGTGTGTCTTTTGCTAGATTTAGAGCATTTTTAGTCGTTATTTATTCAAATGTTTTCTGCCAAACATTTTTTTTCTTGTCCTTCTGGAACTTTGGTGACATGAATATTAGACCTTTTGATATTGCCTCACAGGTCCTTGAGGCTCTGTTCATTACTTTTTTTAATCTTTTTTTCTGTTTTTCACATAGGATAATTTCTGTTAACTGGTCTTTGCTGATTTTTTTCTTATCATCTTCATTCTGCTATTGATCCCACCCAGTGATTTTTAAAACTTCAATTATTGTATTTTTCCATTTTAAAATTTCCTTTTGGTTCTTCTTGAAGCTTTCTGTTTTTCCATGCACTTCAAGAGTGTTTGCCCTTACTTTGTGGAGTATGATTATAATAACTGCATTAAAGTCTTTGATTATTTCAACATCTCTGTCATCTCAGGTTGCCATCTTTAATTGTCTTTTTCCTTATGAGATTTCAGATTTTCCTAGTTATTTATATGTTGATAAATGTTGGATAATATCCTGGAATTTTTAATATTATGTTATATCACCCTGGGTCTAGTTTAAATCCAGTGGAAAATGTTGATTTTTGTTGTTGATCTTACTGTGGCAGGCAGTAAACCTGGTTAAGTTCGGCCTGCAAATTCCTACCCACTTTTTGCTGTTTAGAGTTACCTCCACACATACATAGTTCATGGGTGAACCCAGGAATTCACATATAACTTTATA